AAAGAGAGAAGAGGGAGAGAGAGAGCGAGAGAGAGAGAGAGAGAGAGAGAGAGAGAGAGAGAGAGACAAGGGGAGGGAGAGGGAGAGAGAGAGAGAGGGAAAGCGCCGAAGGGACAGGGAGACAAACAAAATAAGAGAGGTTGCGAGGGAAACAGAGAGACGCCGACGCAAGAACCAGTACCAAAGCTCAGCAATATGCAGTTGTGCCACCAAGGCAAGGGCGGGACCTCGCGAATGAGATGCAGTTCTTCTGGGTGCCCGAGACTATCTTTGCAGGGATGCTGTTCCGGTATCATGATAAGTTTTATCTGTGCACCGGGAGATCGCCGGGAATCCTCACTGCCCTTTGGCTATCAAATCGATTATCATTTCATGACTTCGTGTCCTGAATTTGTGAAGTGCAGCTATAGAAGATAAGCTTGATTTCCAGGCTTTGCAGCTCACGGAGCTGTCCTACAGCTTCAGGGGCCCCCTGCCCCAGATGGAGACGGACGAGACCCGAATCCCCACAGATGCCGTGTGCATCGACGATCCCTTGTCAGAGGGCCAGAGCACCCCTGCACTGACATTGCAGATTGGGAGGCGGGGTTCTAATGAATGCTTCTTCTGTGGTCTGATCCATTCAGAACTGGATGCAGGAATCTAGTCCAGAAGCTGCTCGTGAAGGCGGACGAGGCCCTTCGACGATTGATTTCGAGTCTTGATGAGGGGTTGTTGGGCACGGCAGACTGTAAATATGAATCCAAGGTGCGGTTTTATGGCTACACGATCCACCTGTGCGAGCCCGCACTAGCCGCGAAATGCGGCACGAACCTCATCTTGCGACGGGGCTCGCAGGATTTCTCTTTGATGGCCTGGTTGGTGGAATCGAGGCATATCATGAAGCTTACGGTCGCCAACTTGATGAGTTTCATGGAAGCCTCGGGCATCCGAATGCCGAAGAACACCACAAAAACACAACGCATCAAGAGAATTCTGGCAATGGACAGCATCCAGAACGAGTGCACAAAAACGAAGATCGACGAGGTCTTGAAGATGCTTGAGAAGCAGGAGGAGAGAAGAAAGAAAAAAGAAGAAGAGAAAGCGACCGAGCCGGCTGAAGAGGCAAGGATTTCTAAAACCCGACTGCTCATCAATTGTGTTCAACCACCGAAGCAAGCAGGGCGAGATCCAGTGGGACGAGCTGGAGGAAGATGCTGCGACGAATGCTTGTCGGCAGCTGCTTGTTGGGCAGATGGACGACGAGGAAGATGAAGATGCTGAGGAGGTCTTCCGCTTCGGAATTGCATAGTTTTTTTAGGATTCTTTCTCGTTCATTTTCTGTGTCTCTCTCTCTCTCCTGGCATCGTTGGTTTCCAACCTCGCCCGGCATATGTCAATACACAGCTATCCAAGCATTCCAGGAGCCGACAGCCCCGATCCCTGGTGACTCGCGAGCACCGGCAGCAGAACGAGCATCCAGAGCTTTGGTTAGTTCGTCGGCCTCTTTGCCGGCGGATTTGACTGCAAAGCTTCCTTTGCCACCTGGCACCACCATGTATATGGTGGTTCATCAAGACAGAACTCTACCGCACTTTCAAGGCCGCTTGCTAAGCGGTGAATGCATCGATGGAAAGCTTCTTTGCTGCAATTCTCGCTTTGAATGAAACGACACACAGAAATAGAGACAGAGAGGGACTACAAAGACATTCAGAGAGAACTTTCGTTCATGCCATCCAAGGTCTTCGTGTGCAGCTTCGTTTAACCCAGAGTTGGAGAATGGAAAGCACGATGCCCGAAAGAAAACACTGAAGTCATTGGTTGCGCAAAAGCGCAACCGGGACCAGGCTTATTATATGGTCTGGCAGTGGTTGCAAACTGCTTCGCTTCGCACTAGACCATGCAAGCGGAAGCGGGAGGAGTCATAGGTGATGCTTGGCGCCAGTGGTAATACTAATCACGAAAATAAGCTTGTATGCTAGATTGACAACACTGCGGGTAAACCTGCATCGCGAAGCATCCCTGGGGAGACCTGTGCATCAGGAGCGATTGGGGGAAAACAAGACCGAGCGAGCGAGCATGCAAAGCTGTTAGGGGCACGACCCTCGAGGGAGCATGGCATTGGCAATCCTTGACTAAACCCTAAACCCC